ACTCAGTATGGAAAAAATGAGAACTTTAATTTCTGAGCTATAATTTAAAAAATCAGTAAATTAAAAAACTGACATTAATAATTTCAATTAATCTCAGAAAAAAACTTTTTCTGAGTGATATTCATAAATAATCCTCAAACAACTTCCATTTGTACAAATTAACTGTGTATATATGTTCCATTAACACAAAACATTCACAAGCTAATTACATGATTTCCCAAAGACAGATAAAGTATATTTTGTTTCTACCAAGCTTTCACTAGATATGCCTTCAAAGAACTTAACCTCATACACCCAGACAAGTACTTATGAGATCTAAATTTGTAAATAAAGCTTAAAAATTCTGGTTTCCAAATTTTGTTAAATCCAAATAATATGCCTCCACAGAATAAAGAGGAATCTGGACTCTAATGGAGCTCCACAGGACCACAGTAATAGATACCAAACACAGGCCTGTGCTATGATCAGGATGGTGGTAAAGAGATCCAAGTGTTGAACACAGCCACTGCCTTCTCTCTTCCTCCGCACAATAATTACAAATAAAGTCGTGTCTCTAAAGATTACCAACCTCTCCTCAAAAGATGATTCTGGTTAACTAAATAGCTATACATTTACTGGAGTAAACGCAAAGCCAGTAATTTTCTTTTAAGTCCGACACTTTTCAGTTTGATTTTTATAATTTGATTTCTTTAGTAATCTTTAAAACCATAAAAAATTTTTTGTTATTTAAAATCGCATAGAACTAAAGTATTCAAGTGCAAAACAAAGGAATTCAATCTGCGTTTAGTATTCCAACTAAAGACTTCCTGTTAGCAGCAGGATTTCTTCCTTTGGCACATACAGTAAGTGCCTGACTGGCAAGTTGGCAAGAATGCTAAAGGTCAAATTTCATAGCAAACCCTAGAACTTCCTAGGCCCTAAAACTCTTTAAGATATTAAACAAGTTGTTTTGTGCTTCTGTTAAATACAATAAAATGAAGTTTACTCTTTGAGAGAAGGTATTTCCTGACAGTCTAATAACTAATTGGCAAGATCTGCTACGTTATTAAATCATTACAAAACAATTTTTCCATACTGTTTATGCTTATTATATTAGTAACAACAATTCAATGCTTGTGAAAATAAATCTGTCTATAGTTCACCCCTACCCTCCCACAAACTCATTTGCTCCTTTCGATTCACTCAAATTCCTTGAGCCCTACCCAGAATAAATCCTGAAAATATAAGATTCAAGACTTCTCAAGAAACTTTCTGCTATTGTTTCATATTCAGCTTTTTCTTTTTTGGAAAAGGGTTATTAGGTTTTTGTGTGGTTAATAAGTCACTGTTAATCTTTCCATGCATCTTTTCTCCTAGAAGAGTAAACATTTTTCTCTTCTAGAAGGTAAAACATTAAATCTATATTGCCTGACATAAATTAATGTCGTTAAGAGAAGCATCTCAAGCAGCGCATCCCTGTTGTAATAAATGTGTATCTTTTTATATTACAAAAGATTCTTCAAGGCCAGGCAGCAGTGACTCACGACTGTAATCCTAGCTACTCTGGAGGCAGAGATCAGGAGGACCAATTACAGTTTGAAGCCAGTCCAGGCAAATAGTTCACAAGACCCTATTCTGAAAAAAAAAACAACATAAAATCGGGCTGGCGAAGTAGCTCAAGTGGTAGAGCATGTGCCTAGCGAGTGTGAGGCCCTGAGTTCAAACTCCAGCATCACCAAAAAAAAAAAGATTCTTCAAATAACTGTAACCTTCTGTAAACCTGGTATAATCTGATATAAAAAGAGCCTGGAGTAGGATATGGAACACAGATGTCTCCTGACATTAAAAGTAGATCTTGGCTATTTCATAAGATAAAATTTTATTTTTTAAAATGACATTATTTAATTTGAAAAAATACCCAATTGACTTGTAATTTATTCCTATGTTGTAATTGGAAAGTCATTTTAAAGTCTGTCTCAAGATTACAAAAAACATGTCAGATTGCTTTTAGAAGAAGATTGGTAGAGATTTAGTTTACAGTTAAGTTTCCTCAATGATATTTTGCAAACCAGAATTGTAAAACAAGATTTTTTGCATTTTTTTCTTCATACTTACATACTGAAGGCTCAGGCAGAAAAGTTTTATAGACTGAGTATTCCTTACCCAAAATGCTTGGGAAGCATTTTGAAGAGTGTTTTGTATTTCGGATTTTTTTGAATATTTGGATATACACAATGTGATATCATGGGATTCAAGTCTAAACATGAAATTCATGTATGTTTTATATATACCTTATACACATAGCCTGAAGTTAATTTTAGTGCAGCTGCATTTTGATTGCAATATATCATATGAAGTCAAATATGAATTTGACATTTGTGGCATCATGTTGGTGCTCAAACTTTTGGATATTGGAACATTTTCAGAATTCAGCTTTTCAGATAAGGGATGCTCAACCTGAATAAGCTATCAGTGATGTCAGCAATATACAGATGGGAAAGGTGAGCACAAAGAACAAGTAACCTGTATTAACAATAAACACAGCTGTTTTTCCTACTCCTCCTCAGCTAACAAGTAAGTCTCAGATTTTGAAACCTCTGGATCATTCATTCAGTCACTCATTTATTATTTTGAGCATCTCCCATGTAGCCAAGTACCATGCTAACTATATGACTCTTCCTTCCCCCTTGTGTCTCAAACCTCATTAGTAGACAAATCCCATGAATCTGGACTTCACTTCTCCCCTTTCCAAACATCCAAAACAGATCCTCATTAATTTGTTTAAAATATTAACCAATGAACCAAAGTGGAAAATCATGCAATTATTAAAATTACTTGGGACAAATGCAATTGGCTCACACCTGAAATCCCAGCTACTTGGGAGGCGGCTATAGAAGGATCTCTGGTTCAAGGCCAACCACAGCACAAATAAAAAACAAAAGTTAGTAAGACCCTATCTCAAAGAACAAGCCAGGTATGGTGGTTCAAGCCCATAATTTCAGCTACACAGGATGAAGAAGTAGGAGGAACAAGGCCCAAGGCTGGCTTAAGCAAAAAGCATTAAGACCCTATCAGAGAAATAACTAAAGCAAAAAGGGTTGGGGGGCATAGCTCAAGTGGTAGAGCGTTTGCATAGCAAGCACAAAGCTCTGAATTCAAACCCCAGCACAAAAAAATTACTCATAAAAAATGTGTAACAGAAATTCATTCAAGTAAAAACCAAGGACACAAAACTATAAAGTATAATCACAACATTATTTAAAAAGAATGTGGCATGAAGATGAAGAAAATACTAACACTCTAAGAAAACCTCTAGTAGATAAGTACTTTACTTTTTAGCATTTTGGAAATATCCTATAATAAGCAGTTATTATTCTAAAAAAAAATAAATGAACTTTATTTTTTAAATTTGCTCTTTTAGTTGGATAACAAATTATTTGACACTTAGAACCTATGATATTATAAATAACAAATAAATTCTCAAGTAGGCAACAGTCTTAATCCTTTAACTGAGTTCTTTAAAACCAAAAAAGGCAGTCATCTAAGCTCACTGCACTATTTCTACATGCCCAGAAAACCTTTCCTCCTCAAGGTCCCAATGAGATTATGATGCCAGCTTTTACAAAATAAGCTACTCCTCTACACTACTCTTCAGTTTCCAAAATTTAGTGATTTACTTTTTTTTAAGCCTAAAACTTCATTTTTCCTTTAAAAGACATTCTAGATCTCCATTTTTCTCTCCACTTATCACTGGTGCCTGCAATTATCTTTTCTCTAGGGAGTCTCTCATAAATATTGCTATATAACTAATCCTTGATTGCTACTTTCATAAAATCACTTGCCTTTTTGAAATGCACAATGGTTTCTGCTTTAGTCAAGTCTAAGCTTCTTGTTGGACCACAGATCTCCATTTCACCTTGCATCTTATTTCTTCAAACTAGGCAGACCTATACAGTCCCTTACATTTAAACCTTGCCTCCTCTTGTTTTCACCGAACTACTCCCAATTTTCTACCTAAAATGTCTTTCTTCTACCCTGTTAATCAAAGTGCAAGCTCAAAGGCCAGTTTAAGTCTTATCTCCTCCATGAATCATTCCTTTAAGTATTTAGCCTACACCAATCACTCTTCTGATTCCCTCTGACATTTACAGTTAGTACCTCAAAGTATAACCATCATTAATGATTCTATGTTAATTGTGTTTATGTTGGTTTCATTTCCTAGAGAAGGCACTCCAAGAGGGTCAAGAAAATGCTAGACACACAAAAGATTAATACTAAATGAATACAAGTTACTAGGAAGGAAACAAGTTACTAGGGAGGAAAAAAATAATCAGACAAGGAAGTTTAAATTTCAGCTTACATTAGTTATCTAATATAATCCAATACTTTAGGAATAAAGTAGAACTGTAACATTTCTCCAATCACTTCTGCTCCTTGTAGCAGTATCTACAAGGCAGGAGATAAAGAAAGCAGATGTTTTTTCCCTTAATTACATGATTTTTTTTTTACATGACAAAAAGACATGTTCAACACAAAATTAGCCATCTGATACTGTCTTTTTGACCAGATTGGGAACTATTATTCACTATGAAAAGCTATGTTCAGAGAAAAGTAAAAAATCACTAAGTAATGTAGGTGCCCATGGTATATCTACCGTACCCAAGTCTTCCTGTCTTCTTTTCCTTTCCCAGACTTAAGTCCAGTTTCTCTAAAGACCCAACCTTCCCACTCTAACAAACCTAAGTCTACATTCAGTCCAAGTGGAGACATTAAATTCTCCACGGTTTCAGGCTAGATGGCCTTGAGATAAATACACGTGTTCTATAACATGAGTCAATAACAGACACAAGCGTTCTGTCATTCAGTATAGGTTAACCAGCCCCTTATAAGAAGGCTCAACCAAGATTGGCAAATGGAAAATAGAAAAAATTTCACAATATGTTGGCTTCCCAGGAAAATCCAGAAAAAAAGCATCTTTTTCACTGAAATGTCAATATAAACTAATCTATAATGTGAGTTACCTGAAGGATGCCTTCCCTGATTCTGTGGCATTCTTTGGAAGAGATCATGATTGTATTCATAATATCTGTAGTCTTCGTGCACACGCTCTCCAAGTGGTCGCCTTCTCTGACCATCAAAAAAATTATCTGAATAATAATATCGGGAACCAGAGTCTCCATTTTCAACAGCAAAATTAACTTCTGTTAAAAATGACTGAGAGGAACCATACTCCTGAGGGACATCTGCTAGACTCCGGACAAGATAAGAAGGTGCAGATAGTCTGTTGCTTTCTCTTCTCATTATTTCATGAGGTGTTCTTTGAATTGGAGTTCTTAGAAAACTCTGGTTTCTTGAAACCACTCCATCTCCAGAAGCTGAAAAAGCATTAGAGCTTGAATCTGGAAGACAAATATCAGTTCGTCTTGGAATTGTTGGACCGTGCCGAATGAATGAAGGCATGAGATCTATAATAAAACAGAGTAAAATGACCATTTCAGTAAGTACTAAATATGCTTTTTAAAAGTTGGTCGTTTATGTCTACCACCTCAAAATCAAGATACCAATAGATTTAAGGAAATTAAATTTTAAAATTTTCATTTAAGAGAGTACTTGGATATTACAATTGAGGAAGACTATTTTCTCACTCAAATGAATTTACAATTTGCATGAATGTGCTATGTGTAAGTTCAGCCAGAATTAAATGTAATTTAGTAGGTAGATAATATAATGAATGTAGATAATATGAAATGTCAACAGCTCACCTATGAACTACATGGACAAACGTGTAGAATAGACAATAACCTACAAATCAATACAGTTACCAGCATAATTTATGACTATAAAAAAATCCTTCTTTAGACAAACACAGTTTCTTGCTTCTCCCAAACACATACATCTTTAAAAAGATTTTAAAACTAGCCTTTCTACAGTTAGAATAACCTAGCACTAGCTAGTACAATAACCAAAATTGGAAAGCCAAAAATTTAGGTGTGAAATTTAAAATAAAAATATTTCATTTCAAAGAGGGATACAAATGTTGAATGTCATCAAAAATACCAAACCTGAAACTATGGCTCCTTTAAGTACAAATAATTATAATTCAAAACAGAAAGTAATGACTTTCTGCATATAGTGTCACTGAACACAGTGTGAAAAGAGCTTAGCCATTCTTGGTGAGAATGCAAATAAATACCGTTAAAACGTGAAGAAAACTGGATATGAAGCCCATTTCATTAATTAAATAATATAAAGGGCACTCATGAACTTCAGAAGCTAGGATTAAAACAAATACCGCAATAAATATTGCTCAACAATGACAAAAACAGAATACTACATCGTTATTTGCTTAAAGATGTGACAGATTCCATGTCACATTTCAAGTAATGTTTAGTACACTTTATTTGCAGCAAAAAGTAAACTATCACTTAAAAACACCTATGAACATAAGTCCATGTATGACAGCAAACCAAGCTGTTAAAAAGTTTAGAAAATAAAGTTTCAAGTTACTGGTGTACCCATCTGACACATTCTGTTGAAAGCAAAGCTACTACCCTAAGTCTGGAAGGCTGATGATGTGGCTGGCTATCAGGGGAAAACATGCTCTCCACCCCTTTCTGTACGATCGTCGGCAAATACTGGGAACCTCTAGGAACAGCCTTCCCAATTACGATGTGAAGCAATGGTTAAGTCACAAAGTTACCACCAGCTTCCAAGAAGGAAACTTACACAAAGGACCCGCCAAACCCTGGGGACCAAAAGATTAGCCCCTCACTTTCCAAATATCCTTAACACTTAAGAGTGAAAAAGTCAAGAAATCCTGGTCCAAAATCGGAGTGGAGTATCTGCACGGAGGAGAAAAGCTGGGGAAGGAGGGGGCCAAAGATGACATGACGGGAATCATTTTGAGAGCCATGCCTTGTGGGAACCTCTTCAATGAAGCCCAATCCAAAAGACTTTGGTCCCTGGGCTCTGACATCTGAGATCTGGAGAGGAGGCTTTGGGTGGCGGTGGCGGCCACGGGTGCGGCGGGCACTTTGCACCTCTCACGCCTGCGGGGCCGCAAGACCCGGGATCTGTGCCCACTTTGGATTACTCAGGGCCTGGGAGAGGGACACCCGCGCGGCTGGAAAGCACAGGGCACGCCGCGGGGTAACAAGAAGGGGAAACAGAATCCCGGACTAAGCACCGGGGACCCGCCATCTCGCTCCTGGAGTCTTTCTTCCCGCACTCCAACACACTGGCACGGGGGCCAGGAAGTCTGTGGTTTGGAGGTGATGGGAGGAGGAAAGGGGATTTAATCCTTTTCCTACTCTTGATCCACTTTCAATGCATAAACACCACTGGGGACACTAGAAAAATCAACTTCCCCGAGACCCGGGGGTAAGCAGCAGCCGCGGAAGCTCCCCGCGATCGCCGGGGCCAGGTGTGGCGCGTCCCCGGCCGCGCGACACTCACTCCGCAGCAGAGGCGACGTCTCCTTCTTCACGTACTTCCCCTGCACCTCGGCCGGCTTGGACACTTCGTTTTTGGTTTTCTTTCGGGACAGCATCCTTCTCGACGAGGCCCGAGGCCGCGCCAAGAAGCCTCCCTTCTAGGGCTCCACGCCAGGCGCCGGCCGTCCCCGCGGCCACCACCTCCGCCGGCGCCTCCTTCGCTCCCGAGCCGCCGCTGCCGCCGCCTCTCCGCAGCCCGGGGTCGCCCGCAGGGACTGCCGCATGTTCGAGGCGCTAAGCGCGCCGGCCGCCGCTCAGCCGCATGGCAGTTCCTTCCCGGAAGTCTGCCCGCTCCGCGACGCTGCCCAGGGAGGCCGACAGGAGAGGCTGAGGACACTCGGCCAGGGCCATGGTCCGCCGCGGGCCGCGGAGTATCCGCTACAGTCGCCGCCGCCACCTACGTCCTGTAAACTTTCCCCGCGCCGCTGGGAATTCTGGGAAACCCGACGCAGCGCCAGCGCCGCCCCTCCCCCCGCCCCGCTCCCGGGCGGGACCCGCGCGCCGCCTCGCTGCTAACCCGCCGGCCGGGTCTCCACGGAGAAGCGGGGGAGCGGGGGTCGAAGCCCGCCCGACCTCACGCTGGGCAGCCCACTTCCTTCCCAGATTTTTCCCTTTACGGAAGGCGGGGACGACATGGTGGAGTGAGGGCGTCCCCCTCCGAGTGTCCTTTGGTGACTAGCGCAGGTCCCTAATAACGCCGAAGGCAAATAGAGCGGAAGGACCATGACTCCCCCACCCACCCCCGGCTAGGACGCACTACATCATCTAAATGGCCTCTTCTGGTGACATTCAGTAATCCCGTCGGTACTAATTAAACTGCAAATTGATCCTCTCCCGTGTATTACCGAGTGCATCTTTCTGATAAAGGAAAAGCGAGCACGATTTATGTTGCTGTATTTATTTCACCATCGCTTTCATTTGTATGTTCAGTAGCTACGTAGCTACATACTTGCTCTTGATGTTATATGTTACAGTCTATAGAATTTTGAGGATTTTTTTTGAACACCAACAGTTAGGACCTGGAATTTTCCAGCTAGAACAGCAGACCCTACTTTGTTCTCTATAACTTAGTCAAGTGCACAGAGTAACAGTTGGAAAATGAGATTCAAGCCCTAAGTGATTAAGGCTTTAATAATGAAGAATCTTTCCTGACTCTAAAGCTCACAGAGAGGCAAAAACATATGTCACATTAATAAAAGCATGGAGTTTTTTATAAGACAAGATTAGGAAGATGATCGAATTTTGTTCTGCCATGAAGAAGACATTTTATCTGTTGTCTGTCTCTGTCTTTACAGAAAGTAATACTCCCTTGCTGCGGGTCTCCCACAATTAATTCACTAACACTATTATTGAGCACCCACTATGCAAGGTGCTTGGGATATGACAATAACCAAGTCCCTACTGTCACGGGCACAAGAGACTAAAAAAAAAAAAAAAAATACTATGTTCCACAGTAATGAGTGCTGAGGCGAACCTAAAAGAAAAGGGCCCACAATTTGGGGAAGGGGAGTGGGGCGGTACTGGGGTTTGAATCAGAGCCTCACAGGCTCTCTACCACTTCAGCCACTCTACCAGCTCTGTTTTATGTTTGGTATTTTGTGAGATAGGGCCTCATGAACTATTTGCCTCGGGCTGGATTCAAACCATGATCCTTCTGATCTTTGCCTCCTGAGTAGCTAGGATTACAGGGCTGAGTCACAGGCCTGACTATTTTTGAAAAGGTATAGGATGGCCAGAGAAGGCTCATAAGAAGGTGACATAGAACTTCAAGTGAAAAGTGAGAAAACTGGATCATTCCAAGCAGAAAGAACATTAAATGCAAAGTCACTGCAAGTAGTCCTGTTTCTGGCAGGTTAGAGGAATGGTAAGAGTGGCTGTGTTGGTGGAGCAGAGGGGGAGAAGAATGGAAAATGACAGACATGCCTTGGGCTTTGTAGGGCATTGTAAGGCATTTCACTTTGCATAGAGGAGTGATATATTTAATTTAATATTTCAATGCAGTCACTTTCAATGCTGTTTGAGAAGAGACTGAGTGGGATAGGGTAAAAGTGTAGGCCCCAAAGTGACCACCAGAGAGGAGTGATCTGGCCAAGAGAGAGAGAGAGGAGAGAGACAGGAGAAAGAAAGGGGGGAGGGGAGAGAGAGGGGAGAGAGAGAGAGACAGAAGGGCAGGTGTTTAAATACCCTCAGTGAGACTCAGCATGATCTGATTGGTTAGGATCTTATGGTTCATGCTGATTGGAGGTTGGGGCAGAAGGAGGATTCAAGCTAAACTTGAGGCAGGACCCTGACCCTGGGAAACAGAAGCTTAAGGGTGCAGTAAGAACCGAAACCTATCGGTGCCATTATTGCCAACAAAAAAACAGGGTCAGTCGGAAGCTGTTGCTGGCATCAGCTTGGGTAAAAGCACTGGAGATGATGATAAGTGTCATAGTTGGAACATATTTTAAAGAGAGAGCCAATAGGATTTGCTGACAGATTGGTCATGGAGTGTGAGAGTAAGAGAAATCAAGGATCACCCTTTGTGTGAGTCTTAATAAAATGGAGCTCAATAGAAATAGATTGTACTCTAAGAGGACCATCAGGAAAATGTACTCTAAGAGGACCATCAGGAAAATAGTTGTATGTTCCTGTGGTTGAGATAAACCAAGTGGTACTAAAGTGTTGGTAGTGTGGATGGAGAAGAAACAGTGAGGAAACACAAGTGAAGAGACAGTGGGTTTTGTTACAGTTGGGTATGAAGGCAGGAGGTAGAGGGAAGGGGTGCCACAGAATTGCCAGTTTTCTGCCCAAGGCTGACCTCAGAAGGGAACAAATGGAGGGTATTTTTTTTTTAAATATCTCCAAATGGCAATAACTTCTTTTTTTATTATTGTTTTGTTATTCATATGTGCATACAAGGCTTGGGTCATTTCTCCCCCCTGCCCCCACCCCCTCCCTTACCACCCACTCCGCCCTTTCCCTCTCCCCCACCTCAATACCCAGCAGAAACTATTTTGCTCTTATCTCTAATTTTGTTGAAGAGAGAGTATAAGCAATAATAGGAAGGAACAAGTGTTTTTGCTGGTTGAGATAAGGATGGCTATACAGGGAGTTGACTCACATTAATTTCCTGTGCCTGTGTGTTACCTTCTAGGTTAATTCTTTTTTATCTAACCTTTTCTCTAGTTCCTGATCCCCTTTTCCTATTGGCCTCAGTTGCTTTTAAGGTATCTGCTTTAGTTTCTCTGCACTAAGGGTAACAAATGCTAGCTAGTTTTTTAGGTGTCTTACCTATCCTCACCCCTCAAATGGAGGGTATTAGACAGCTCTTCACACCTGGGGCTTTCCCAGGGGCTGAAATACAAGATGCCTTTCACATTCATGGAGAAAAGAATCATAAGATTTTATAGCTGGATAAGAATTCTGAGGTCACCTATGGTAACCTCAGAAAAATAAAATGTTTTGCCTCAGATCACCTTCCTGATTAGTGACAGACCAATGTCAGAACTCAAGCTTTTGTTTCACATTTTGGGTCTTTTTTTTTTTGCTATAGCACATTAAGAATCTCACTAATGTGAGTCCAGACTGTGTCTAACACAGTTATTTTGAAAGCCACCCATAGTCTCTATAAAGTACTCCCCCCTCAATGCTATTTCAGTTCTTTCAATTACAGCAAAGAAAAGGCTCAATTAGGTGCTCTCTTAAAGACCTATAATTTGCCTTTTTATCAAGGGGATCCATTCCAGAATCAACAATCAGCAGGAGCAATGTACAGCAAATGTATGAACTTTGAATCCAAATCCTAAAATCCAGAGGCTTTGAATTGACATGTTCTCTAAAGATTTCTAGACTTCTGGGAATTCCATATTTTGCAGCTATGCTTCTCCAGACATTGCCTCTGATAATGCTAATAACTGTATTACATAATAGAAATATTTTCCCCCCTTGCAATTGCATTCTCAGTGGGGGAAAATTGGCAATTAGTTGGTGTTAGCAACTATTTTTAATTAATTTAGTATTAAAATTTCTCACAAAGGAGACAATAAGGTATGACCCTGGGCTAACCCCATAGCTTTCTCATGTGAAAATGAATAAATTGGACCACTTGATTTTAAGTGTCTCTCAGCCCTGAAGTTTTGTGCCACATGCAGAAGGAAATAAGAAAAAATAAGAACAATTTGTCCTAGTAGAATAAACATATAACTGATTTCCTTTCTTTCAAAAAGTTTTTATTGTTCATTTAAAATTATTAAAGTATTAAAACATTAGCATTATATAAGATCATTAGTATAAAAACAAACTTTCATGCCAAATTGGTACTTTCAAAGACCCAATTTCTTTATACTATTCTCATTTCCTCTTGCAAGAAACATGTAAAATTTAAAGGGGTGAATTATCCAATAAAGAAAGAAACAAAATGGGACTAAGCCATAAATATGGAGTCTTTTTTTAAAATAAAAAAAAAGTTCTTTGATCCACTTTGAATTGATACTAGTACAAGGTGAGAGACTGGGATCTAGAGTCTTCTGCAGGTGGATATCTGGTTTTCCCAGCATCAATTGTTGAAGATACTATTTTTTTCTCCAATGCATTTTTGGGATCCTTTGTCAAAAATCAAATGGCTTTAGATGCCTGGGCTTGTATCTGGGTCTTCTGTTCTATGTCATTAGTCCCCATGTCTGTTTTTGTGCCCATACCATGGTGTTTTTATTACCATGGCTCTGCAGTGTAGTTTGAAATCAGGATCGTGATCCCTCCAGCATGGCTCAGGATTGCTTTGGTTATTCAGGTCTTTCGTGGTTCCAAATGAATTTTAGGATTGGCTTTTCTATCTCTGTGAAGAATGTCATTGGAGTTTTGATAGGGATTGCATTGAGCATACAGATTGCTTTCTGCAGTTTAGACATTTTCACAGTATTGACTGTGAGCATGGGATGTCCTTGCATCTTCTAATGCCTTCATTGATTTCTTTCCTTAGTGATTCGTAATTTTTATTGTGTAAGTCTTTCACTCTTTCATTAAATCTATTTCTAGGTATTTTAATTTTTTGAAGCTATTGTGAGTATATATATATATTCATATGTATTATATATATGGAGAGAGAGAGAGAGAGAGAGCACATGATTATATTAGTGGATCTGTCTGAGGGGACTATGAGGAGGCAGGAGAGGGCAAGAAAATGTTAGAGTGAAAAATACCGAAACACATTACATCTGTGTATAAAGATAGAATAACAACGAAATGTACTCACTGTAAACTGTTGACTGATAGGGGAGCAGGCCAATAGATAAAGACTAAGTAATAGTGAGGTTAATCTGATTAAAGTATGATATATGCATGTCTAAAATACCAAGGCAAAACCCTCTTTGGACTATCAATATACACTTAAAAAATGAAGGACAGGAAAGCAAATCCTAAAATCCAGA